GGGATGGGAGGGATGGGAAATCATGGCTGTGGAAAGGAGAAGGAAGGATAGGAAAGGGGATTCAGGAAGTAGGGGGAGACTGGGGTGGTGAGGATTGGAGACAGAATGAGTAATTTGCCCTAATTTGCCAGCCGGGAGTGACTGATAGAATCTTGGGGCTGGCAGGGTTGTTGGGGTTGGGGTCTTTGATAGGTCTCTGAGGAGGGAGTGGGGGAAGCAAGACTCTTGCTTGGACTCCTGAGGTGGTCCCTGGGCCACTTCGTGGTGCCAGTCTGCTCCTGTTAACTTTTGCTGTCAGCATTCTTGGCATTTCTGGGAAGGTTTCAGTTGGGACTGGGGAGGTGGGCAGAGCTTGGGGATGGGGCCAGGGCGTGGGTAGGAAAGGCCTGGTGGCGAACAGGTGTTGAGAACAGGCGATTCTTTCAAACTAGCAGTGTTGGTCCGGGTGCTTGGGTTGCTATGTGTGGTGTGTGTGTGTCTACTGTGCGTGTGGCCCTTCATCTGCAGAGTATGTGCATATGTAATGTGATGATTGCATGGCCAAGTGTATTAACTTGACCTTGCCAGGACTTGGGAAATTGACTTTTGGCCCTTCTCTTTAGTCCTTAGTATACTCTGCTTGGTGCTGAGGGGTTGGGCCTGGGCAGCTCTGGGGAGGGGAAGCATTGCAGCTCCTAACTCCTGCCCCTACCCCATTGTGCAGGCTGCTGGTAGGTGCTCCTCAGGCCCTGGCTCTGCCTGGGCAGCAGGCGAACCGCACTGGAGGCCTCTTCGCTTGCCCCCTGAGCCTGGAGGAGACTGACTGCTACAGAGTGGACATCGACCAGGGAGGTGTGAGCCCTGTGGGTGTGAAGTGGGGGGAAGCACATGAGGAGGGGACTCGGGGACTTGGTCTCCTCTTCCCTCCCCTGATTCCCAGTCTCCTGCCTCCAGCTGATGTGCAGAAGGAGAGCAAGGAGAACCAGTGGTTGGGAGTTAGTGTTCGGAGCCAGGGGCCCGGGGGAAAGATTGTCGTGAGTACCACTTCTTGTGATTGTACGCCAGGGCGGGTGTGTATGTGTGTGTGAGTGTACAGTGTGCGCACATACACAGATGTGCTTACAGAACACAAGTTGGGCATATGGTATGATGGTCTGATTCCTAGCACATCACGGAGATATAAAAAGTGTAAGACATGGTACTCGTTCTTATAAATTTAAGCGTCTAACCATCCGTCCATTCATCCATTTGTCAAACTCTTACTGAGAACCTTTTAAGCATCAGGCATTATGCTAGCTACTGAGAGAGGCTATGTAAAGACAGAGAAAAGCCTACATGCTTCAAATAGCCTACTGCATATCATGGAGATTTTCATCCTCTCCTTTTCTGTGTCTTCTGTATCATCATTAACATACACAACATATGGTAATGCAAGTCACTACGGGGCAGACTGTGGTGAATGATATAGTACCCAGTCTGTCAAAGTCTGAAGGAAGAGTGGAGAGAAGGGACTCCTGCAGGTGGGGTGATTTGAGTTAGGCTTTCAAGAATAAGCGATACTTGGAGAGTGGAGAGGGGAGTTATCGAAGTGCTTTGCAGACGAGGTGATGTCACTTACACAGGGTCAGAGAAGGGATCAATCTTGAAATGTTGGGCATAGTCACCTATGGCATGATCAAGGAGGCACAAGTCCTGTGTACCGGCTTAGATGTGCTGGTGGGT